ACAAAAACCACAAGATCATCTCCAAAGATGCTGAAAAGGCATCTGACAAAATTCAACATCCATTCATGACAAAAACTCTCAATAAAACAGGTATAGAGGGCAAGTACCTCAACATAATAAAAGTCATATATGACAAACCCATAGGTAACATACTTAACAGTGAGAAGCTGAAAGCTTTTGCCCTAAGATCGGGAAAAAGACAAGGATGCATATTCTCCCCACTTCTATTCAACATCGTACTAGAGGGTCCTAGCCATGGCATTCAGACAACACAAAGAAATAAAAGGCATCCAAACTGGCAAGGAAGAAGTTAAACTGTCCCTCTTTGTAGATGATATGATATTATACATAAAAACCCTAAAGAATCCACTCCAAAACTACTAGATCTAATATCTGAATTCAAGCCAAGTTGCAGGATACAAAATTAATATGCAGAAATCTGTGGCATTCCTATATACTAACAATGAACTAGCAGAAAGAGAATTCAGGAAAACAATTTCATTCACAGTTGCATCAAAAAAAAAAATACCTAGGTATAAACTTAACCAAGGAAGTGAAAAACCTATACGCTGAAAATTACAAGACACTCATGAGAGAAAGTAAAGAAGAAACCAATAAATGAAACCACATCCCGTGCTCATGGATAGGAAGAATTAATATTGTCAAAATGGTCAGCCTGCCTCAAACAACCTACAGATTCAATGCAATCCCTATCAAAATACCAAGAGCATTCTTCAAGGAACTAGAGAAAATCGTTCTAAAATACAAATGGAACCACAAAAGACCCCGAATAACCAAAGCAATCCTGAGAAGGAAGAATAAAACTGGGGGGATTATGCTCCCCAACTTCAAGCTCTACTACAAGGCCAGAGTAATCAAGACAATTTGGTAATGGCACAAGAAAAGACCCATAGACCAACAGAACGGACTAGCGAGCCCAGATATAAACCCAAGCATATATGGTCAATTAATATATGATAAAGGAGCCATGGACATACAATGGGGGAAATGACAGCCTCTTGAACAACTGGTTTTGGCAAAGTGGATGGCTACATGCAAGAGAATGAAACTGGATTATTGTTTAACCCCATACACAAAAGTAAACTCGAAATGGATCAAAGACCTGAATGTAAGTCACGAAACCATAAAACTCTTAGAAGACAACACAGGCAAAAATCTCCTGAATATAAGCATGAGCAACTTCTTCCTGAATCCATCTCTTCGAGCAAGGGAAACAAAAGCAAAAATGAACTCATGGGACTACATCAAACTAAAAAGTTTCTGTAAGGTAAAGGACACCATCAACAGAACAAAAAGGCATCCTACAGTATGGGAGAAAATATTTGTAAACGACAAATCTGATAAGGGGATAACATTCAAAATATATAAAGAACTCACATGCCCCAACACCCAAAAAGCAAATAATGTGATTAAAATATGGGCAGAGGATATGAAGAGACAATTCTCCAAAGAAGAAACTCAGATGGCCAACAGGCACACGAAAAGATGCTCCACATCACTAATCATCAGGGAAATGCAAATTAAACCACAATGAGATATCACCTCATACCAGTAAGGATGGCCAGCATCAAAGAGACCAAGAACTACAAATGCTGGCGAGGATGTGGAAAATGGGAACCCCCCTACATTGATGGTGGGAATGTAAGCTAGTTTAACCACTGTGGAAAGCAATATGGAGGTTCCTCAAAAAATTAAAAATAGAAATACCATTTGATTTGGGAACCTGACTCCTTGGAATTTACCCACCAAATAATACAACTTCTTAGATTCAAAAAGATGTATGCACCCCTTTGTTTATTGCAGCACTATTTACAACAGCCAAGATATGGAAGCAACCTAAGTGTCCATCAGTAGATGAATGGATAAAGAAGAGGTGGTACATATACACAATGGAATATTATTCAGCCATAGAAAAAAACAAATCCTACCATTTGCAACAACATGGATGGAGCTGGAGGACATTATGCTCAGTGAAATAAGCCAGGAGGAGAAAGAGAAGTGCCAAATGATTTCCCTCATTTGTGGAGTATAAAGAAGCAGAACTGAAGGAACAAAATAGCAGCAGACTCACAGACTCCAAGAAGGGAGTAGTGGTTACCAAAGGGAAGAGATGTAGGAAAGTGGGTGGGGAGGGAGGGAGATAGGGATTGAGGGGTACACATTGTGTAGGGGGTCATGGGGAAAACAGTGTAGCCTTGAGAAGGCAAACAGTGACTCTGTGACATCTTACTATACTGATGGATAGTGACTGCTTTGGGGTATGGTGGGGACTTCATAATATGGGTAAATGTAGTAACCACATTGTTTCTTCATGTGAAATCGTCGTAAAAGTGTATATCAATAATACCTTAATAAAAAAACCCAAAAACCCATAATGAGATATCACCTCACACCAGTTAGACAGCCAGTACCCAAAGACAAGTGTTGATGAGGATGTGGTGAAAAGGGAACCCTCCTACACTGTTTGTGTGAATGTCAATTGATGCAGCCACCAAGGAAAGTAGAATGTTCCTCAAACAACTAAAAGCAGAAATACCATACAGCCCAGTAATTCCACTTCTAGCGATTAACCCAAAGAAAACAAAATTCCTGTTTCAAAAAGAAATATGTACCTCTATTGTTTATTGCCACATTATTTACAATAGTCAAGATATGAAAGCAACCAAAGTGTCCATCAATAGATGAACAGATAGAGAAGATGTGGCATACACACACAATGGGATATCATTCAGTCATAAAAAAAGAAAGAAATCCTGCCATTTGGAACAAAATGGATGGACTTAGAGGGTTTTATGCTAATGAAATAAGCCAGGAGGAGTAAGGCAAATACCATATGATTTCACTTACAAGTGGAATCTAAAAACAAAAGAAAACAAAATGAACAGAACAGTAGTAGACTGGTAGACAGTGAGAGGTGACTGGTAGTTACCATGTGGGAAGGGTTGGGGTACTTGGGTGTGGAGGGTGAGAGGGATAAAGGGCACTGAAATTCTCAATCATAATATAAGTTGGTCATGGGGATGGCAGTACAGCATGGAGAATATAGGCAATGATTCTGTAACATCTTCCTGTGTTGACACACAGTAACTGCACTAGTTTGGGTGAAGATTTAATAATGTGGGTAACTGCTGAACCACCATGTTGCATCCCTGAAACTAATATAAGATTGTGTATCAACTATAGTTGAAGAAAAAATAAGTAAAAGTTAAAAGTAATAAGAAAAAGAATTAGCTTAATTTTTCTAACAATAAAATATAGAATTCTTGATGACATTAAAATATTCATTTCAGATACATTAAAAAAATTTTTGGATGCTTGGTTAAACTTGTGTATAGTTTATAAACTAGACTATAGACTAAGTATGTACATGCACACATGTATGTTTTTAAAACCTAATCATGGAATTTCTAGGACTACTCTACATTTTACTTGTTGAAGATTTTATAAGATCGCAGTATTAAAGGGTGAGAGAATGCTTTAAGCCATCATTAAGAATGAAGTTTTCTGACTATCTCTAGGTTAGGGGCATAAAGCAAGATTATAGTATGAAGGTTTCATTAACATAGGAATTGGCTTCATTTTCATAAACACATAAGAATTAACAGTGGCTTATACTCATGGATTTTTATGTAAAATATTCCAATTTAAAAATTCTTTTCAAACTTAGATAAATACAATACAGATAAAATCAAATATATCCAAGAGCTCTTTCTGACTTAACTGCTTCCAGTTTATGGCCTCTATTCTGCAGGGAGCCAAACTTTTTAGTCTATTTTTTTTCTTTGAAATCATAGAAGCAGTAAATTCTTAAAACACCCAGCTTTTTGAAAAGTTCAGTAATGAGCAGAAATTAATAGAATATAATAGTCCTGTTAAAAAAAGGTAAGTTAAGACTACAGCCTTCTGTTATTTGTGATAGACAATCCTTAAACAGGAACAGCACTATTCTGCTTGCCAAATATGTCAGAGTCACCGGCAAATTTGGTATATTATTTTAAAAGTCATGTCTGGAAATCTTGACCTACTTTCTCACTTTCATTACGAACAGGTACTAGTAGCCAGCTTCCTTCTTAGAGATTTTTCACAGTGAAACTTTTTCCTCTTTGAGAGGTATCACTGAGTAGAGAAGAGCTTGTTGCAGCACTGAGCTAGGGATGCTGGACGGAGGGCCAGGCCTACTAATTATCAAGGCTAATCATCAATCACAACAGTTGCTCAGGGCGTGATTTATACCTGTGCTTAGCATAATCACAGATTAATACAATGTAGTGGACTTTTGGGTTCACCTGCCAGTGATCAAAGTCACTAAGTTAAGTCTAAGAACAAAAAGAAAAAAACAAAGCAAAACAGTCCTCCCCCCAAGAATATATTTATATTTTAAGAATGAATTTATTTACTAATAAATTATAGAACATATATAGTACACCATGATCAATAATGTGTTTCATAAGGATGTTTGATTAATAACTCTCATTAGTTCTATGCTTTGTCAAAAAAAAAGATGAGGTTTTGTTTTTTTATTAAATTGCAACTGTATATATAATTTCCAGAATCATTATGGATTGCTGATGAAAATAATCCTCATTCCAACAGAAAGAATGAAAAACAAAAACAAAAACAAACCCATGAAAACTTGGGAGACATTTTGAAGGTGATTTTAGATTATAAATGCTAAGAAGGTAAGAACTGAGGATTTTAAAATGGAAAATTCATGTACTTCCCCAATATCCACTTACACCCTTAGCAGAGAGAATCATTCTTTTAGATTTCAGGGAAAAGGAATTTGTCACAAGGGACATAATTCTTAGGGATGTGATTCATGATGTGTACATAGCCTATGAGGATATTATAGCACCCAGAATTTGAAACGGTCACTTTCAGCAGTGTTTTTAGTCACTATTACTCTCTTCTACTAACTCTGAAACAATGCCAAAACAAAACACAAAAGTAGAACCTGGTTTCAAAGATAACTGACTCACTTTTTGTGAAGGAATTCTCCAGCTGCCACAGCAACAGGGCGATGTGCTGAGTACACCAAGTGGTAAACATTTTCACAGTCTTCATTGGAAAGAGCTTCCTCACTTCCACTGAAAAGTTTAGAAAGCAACATCTAAGTCAAAACAAATGTTTACTTTCAGCTCTACTCTAAATTTTGTAAAGTTCATTATAAAAGCTCAAGGCATATTGATTTTTTTCATTTCTTTTTAATCTCACTTTGAAAGTAGTATTTCTCCTTAATTATAAAGACCACCTAATAATTATATAAAATTCAGAAAGTACAGATAAAATTAGAAAATAAATTTCCACATTTCTTCCCATACACATACACTCCAAAAGATAGTGACTGTTACCATCTTGGGACACATATTAGCCCAAATTAACTCAATTTCTTTAAAAGTTTTGTTCATAGGCACTGGGACTGTATTTTTCGCTGTTGCACAGAGTTAAATTATTAATATGCTATGTAACTCTTCTTTCCAGAACTATTTTTTTTTTGCCCATCCCCTTCTCTACGGCAACCACCAGTCTGTTCTGTGTTCTATGAATCTATTTGTTTTGTTCTTTAGATTCCACATGTAAGTGAAGTCATATGGAATTTGTCTTTCTCTATCTGGCATATTTCACTTAGCATAATGACCTCTAGGTCCACCCATGTTGTCACAAATGGCAAGATCTCAATTTATTTTTGTGGCTGAGTAATACACCATTGTACATGTGTATCACATCATCTTTATCCATTCATCTATTGTTGAACACTTAGGTTGCTTCCATATCTTGAAGAGCTACCATAAATAATGCCGCAATAAACACAGGAATGCATGTATCTTTTTGAATCAGTGATTTTGTTGTCTTTGGGTAAATTATCCAATGTGGAAAGTATGATAAATGATGTCTTATCACCATATTTACAATATTATTTAGTCTTCTTTATACATAAGATAGATTTAGCAGTTCCTGTCATTACTTTACTAATAACAACTTCCCACCTTTTCATTCATGCATTCTTAAAGTTTGAGCCATTTCTTAGTTTTCAAGAATGTGTCTCCAGGAATTTTTTTTTCTAACTATTTCCTGACTATTTACATGGTTAAAAATGTCTGATATGATTACAGTTAACAATGGCTAGATGAAGTACAGAATTCTTGGGCTATAGAGGTCCTTGACAAGATGTAGGGGGAATAAGCTCATCCCCCAGAATTCAGTCCTGGAGATGCCTCAGAAGCTAAGCAGAGATTGAGGGATCTGTCAAATAAACATAAAATCAGAGTGACCTTTGCAGCAAAAGAAGGGCATTCTATCACAGTATAAGAGATAATACAGTTCTGAATGAAAAAAGCCGGATATCAAGGAAAATAGGCTAGAAGAATATTTTAAAGTACTCTTTTTCTCCTCTCTCAATGCCTGTTCTAATTCTACTGTGAAGCAAAAACAGTAGCCAGTGGAGTGTGAGTGGGCAACAGCTAGAACCAGCAAGCACTGGGAAATTAAAAATTAGTGTAGCCTGAGTGTCTAGCCCATGAACTAACTCTCCTCACGTATCTCTTCAATACCTGAGGGTTAAAATGAGATTACAGCTGAAGGAGACAGTTTTTAAGTCTGCAAGGGAGGAGTTACAAATTGTAACCAGAGGCTTTCTGTCCTGAAGCAGAAGTCTCTGCCCAAGCCTAACTCATACCCCTAAATTATGAGGGGCACAAAGCTCTAATCTCTTCACCCAGTTACATACATCACCTCAATTAGCTAATACCTTCAGAAGAAACTTGTTAAACTCATAGGAAAATATTTAACAAGATATTTTAGGAACCCGAGCTCATAAGTGAAAGGAAAATTGATAGTCTATACCAAAAGAAAGAGAATTAACAGGTAGACAGAAAAAGAATTCAAAGGGGATATAACAGGATGTTAAATGTAACTTTGAAACGTTTTGGTAGAGATCCAACAAGCCAAGAAAAATAAAGCCAGATCATTGCACGTAAATGCTTTAAGAGACTAGAAAGCTCATTTTGTGATCCTTACCTCATTAAAAACCAAAATAACATATAAGGAGAAATTAGGGGATTGAGTAATATAATGGTTAAAGAGGATTTCTTTCAAGAGAAATCAGAGTGTTGCAGTAATCTGAAGCCTTCTTTCCAAGCCAAACTGCAGCACAAAGTTTCAGAGAACTACTATAAAAACTTTATAAACATTCTTTACAATTGTGAGGACATTTGGGAAATGGTATCACATGCTTAAAAAGATCTAAATGTGAAAAGCTGACTGGAGCAACCCAAGGTAGTAAATTAAGAAAAGAGGGCTACAAGGGGAGTGAGGTGTACTTTCTCCAACCATAAATGGTCCAAGTTTCCTGTAGGCCATCTATGGAATATTTAAAGGGAGCCAGCCTGAATAGCTATAAAATACTTTGTCTAACAGGACTATGTAGAGGGCAATCAATTTCAACAAAGGAAACCTAAAGGTCAGGAGTAAATAAATAGTAAAGGTCACAAAGTAAATAGCCAGAGTCACTGTCCACTCTGATAAACTGTAGTCACTAATACCTAGAGTGGGGAGAGCTCTCTGAGGAATCTGTAAGAGGACTACCTAATGAATTAGGACATCTGACACAGATTTAGGGCCATAGCTACACACCTTTTAAAGAAAGACATGCTCTATCTTATCTCCTCCAATGAACGTGCAGAAAAGAACCTTAAAAACAGACTTCTGAAACCAGTCAAACCATTTTCTAAATTCATGATGAAAGTAGGATTTTTTTATCCAAACAAGTTCTTAGATGGTTTGAAAACATTGTTTAATGAAGTAAACTAGTAGGAAAGATAATCTTAGAAGAGTCTAAGAGATAATTGTTCTTCCCTGGAAATAACGGCAAAGGAAGGTTTACTCATGTCTGAATGAGCAGGTACTGAAACAAAATAAAAAAGGATTTAAAAAAGTATATCTTAACAATAGAGATCTTAAACTCTAGACAGTTCCAATGAAATAGCTGAGTGGGTGGAATATCAGGGTATTTTTTTGTTGAAGGGAAAGATTTGATAAGCTTGTGAAGCTTACAAGGAAACCATAACTGGAGGTATTTTTAAAAATAGATCTGAAAAGGAAAAAAACATCATAAGTTACAAGGAAGAATGGTACATATGGATAAAATGAACATTAGAAGAGGGTGTACACATCATAAATGCATGGGTACTCATCTATATACTCTGAAGTACACCAAACAAGAAAATATAAGGAAAAATAAATGAACAATACTAGTTGGAAACTTTAACACATCCCTCTTAAAAAGTAGAAAAAAAAAAAGGCAAAGGTCTCAATAATTTTAATGACACAGTAAAAATATTCAAAGTAATGAATATAAACACATAACTGTATGTACTACATATATATATAGTGTGTATATATATATATATACTACATATATTATATTTATATAATTTTTAAACATATTTAGAAATTTGAGAAAATTAACCAAACTATTCAGAACACATTCTCAAATAATACAGTAATACAGAAAGGTCAGTTTAAAAAACCTGACCTGGGGAGAATAGAAACATACTACTGAGTAATCTATGATTAAACTATAAATCATAAAGGTAATCAAAATATTTAGCATTGAATGCCTATGAAAATACTGTATGTCCAGTTTTTAAGAAACTAGTAATTAAAGACATATTTATTACTTTAAATATGATTATTAGAAAACAAGAAACAAATGAACCAAATGAAGCTAGTTCTTTGAAAGCAATTGTAAGATAGACAAACCTGTGGCATAATGATCAAGAAACAGAGGACACAAATAAAATAGAGGACAAAAAAGAAGAATTAACAAGAGAAATAGCAGAGTTTTATGAATAAAAATATTATTAACTATAAATTTTAAAACTGTGATGAAATTATATATTAAAGTTTATAAAAAGCCAAAACTAGTACAAGAAGAAATAAAGGTTAATTTAGGTAGATAATCACTGACTAAGTGAAAACAGTAATCAAACACCTTTTCTTCAAAGGAAACTCAAAACTGACATGGCTTTAACAAAAGAATTCTCTTAAAATTTCAAGGAAGCGTTAATCTCTCTCAGAAAATTTATTTCAGAACACAAGAAGGGCAAGAAACTACTTAAGATATATTACAAAGAGAAGCTGATTTAAAAGTTGGATTAAGGACAAGAAAAATATTGTGTCAAATTTACACATGAACACAAATGTGAAAATCCTTAAGATACTAAATATAACACTGCATTCAAGCTAAATACAATAAAACCAATTACATCATGTTTGAACAAGATTCACTTTAGAAATGCAAGGGTGGTTTACAATTAGACAAATCTATCAATTTCCGTAAGGCTCATCAATATATAAAAGGAAAATCTCAACTCAGAATAAAAGGCACTTTTATCACATATCAAAACCTCTCTCACAAATCACAGCAATATAGAACTTTACATGTCTTCTTAGGACAAAAACAAAAAAAAAATCTACTATCAGTGATACTTCTTTAGTGCTGAAAGTCCTGCCTGATGCATCTGGATAAGAGAATGAAATAAAAGTTTTAAGGTTAGGAAAGGGGGAGACAAAATTGAAACTGTATGCAGATGATATACTAATCTACATAGTAAACCCATAAGAATCAACAAAATATCAGAAAGCATAACAATTCTGATAGGGTGCACATATAAGAACATAAAAATTAAAGACTTCTTTGCTTCAGCAGTAACCAAGTAGAAAATTTTAACACTAAATACTGATCATATAACAAAACCATCAAGTATTTAATAATTAACTTAATAAATACTGTATAATATCTCTATGAAAAATACCTCAGCACAGATGGTATTTGGTGTATGATAGATACAGCATCACAAATTAGGGAGAGGAGGATTTGTAATGACTTTGCTAGGACCTACTGGGACCTCCTTCTAGTTTGTAGTAAAGCTCTACAGATAAAACTGTTATTGTTTAAAAATATCATATTAATGACACAATTTAAATGCCTTATTTCCTTTCTTCTAGTCCTATACCATTCCAAAGAAGCTTATTTGAAAAACCTATCCATTTTGAAGCCTTCTCTTTCTCTCTCCTTTTTAAAAATAGGATGGTATGTTATTTCACTGATACTTGCCCTGTACTGCGTAAGAGAACTTTTATATGGAGGAAACAGAAAATAGTCAAAATAAAAAAGAAAGAAAAACAGAAAACATTTTGTTTCAAACCTAACCTTCATGTACAAAAGTAGAGCCTAAAGTACTAAGAATATATATACATTAAGGTTATATATGTGAAGTGCATCAATAATGCCAGGAAAAGACATTAAAATATCAAGATTAAATTAAAACATTAACAAATATTATACTTACTGAAGTATCAGAGTAACCAATCGAATAGCCTCCACAGCAACATCATATTCCTTATCAAGTGTCATTGATACAATGCGATCCTGAAATAAAGTTATAAATCAAATCGACAATGAGCAGAAAATAAGCAGGGCCCAAACAAAGGTAATGTCCTTGGGGAATATGTGCAAGAGTAATGACAGATTAAATGGAAAGCTTTACTCTTGAAATCATATTATTATAGTCCTGTTTCCCACAAAGAAAGTGTTAACATAAATGTTCACGGTGAAAATCTTTCTTATCAACTGGCATCTTCTGAGACAAATAAACCTTAACTTGCAAAATTAATATATTATAAAGAGCTATACATAAAGAAAATCTTACTTTAAGCCGGAGAGTTTCTGTTGAAGGCAATAAATAAGAATTCATGTTGGTAATATCTTTTGTAAAGAAGAGATTCATTTACCTATCTAATACAGGTTTGTTCAGAGAATATGTACAAAAATATGAACTAAACACTTGTTTTGGTAATGTCATTTGCTAAACTAGTTATAAATAGTATTCAGAAGTGAAAAATAAAGAGCTAAGCATCCTTGATGCTTACCTTGAATCGGTTAGTGAATAACTCCAATTTGGGAAATAATTCTCTGTTGGTATATAGACTCTGAAGAGCTTTCAAACACTTCAGCCTGACTTCTCCTTGCTTCAGAAATACAAATAAAAACACAACAGAAGTGGTCAATTCCATGCTACAATAGTTGAAAAGATTTTCAAGTCTATATGAAGACTAAAGTAATTTTCAGCTTAACCATTCAATTTACTTGTATTGTAATTCAACACAGGGTGGAGCTGAGCAACTGTAGAGTCTGTGTTGCACTTCTATTTAATTAAAAATGCACTTAAAATCTCTTAGTTACTGGAGAGTAAGCTATACATTTTTCAAGCATTTGTCAGCTCTGATTCACCATGTAGTACTTCCCACATCATACTGTGGCACTTCCATAGAACTTTTAACCTATGATTTTAGAGCAAAGTGTGTAAATTTGTCCTTTATGCAACTACTGAATAATCCTGTAGAAAAACCAAATTCCCAAATTTTTTCATTTAAATTTTTCATTAAATAATCTGTCCTTTTTTCATTTAACAAATGTTTATTGGATGCCTTTTACATTTCAGAAAGAGCAGTTACAGAAACAAATAAAGGGAAGGGTATTTAAAACAAAGGCAAAATGATCGGTGAAGTGTCCTGAGGCTGCTATTTACTAGTAAAATATCTTTAAAGTTATTAACCTGGAGAAAATGATGGTGATCAAAGTGCATTCAGCATCATCTAGAAACAGCCAACTTTCTCAAAGAATTCAAAGGAGATTGAAACTTCTATGTTCAAAAAGAATCAATGTGCTGTAACAGTAGGAATTCAAGTTTTGGAATCAGACAAAGCAAGATTTCCAATTTACATATATAACTTACTGGCTACATGAGAGATGTCAAGTATATTAATCACTTTGATACTCATTTACAGAATGGTGACACTAACTTCGTAAGGCTGTCGTTAAAACCAACTCTAAAACAGCTCTTGAGATGGGGCCCTGAACTGCTACATTTGCAGATTTCTGTGACAGTTCCTCCAGTCAGTTTCAAGCTATCAGTGAGATGTCACTGAAATAGTGTTTGCGAAGGGATGTGCATAACCATCCTCTTGCAAGATAATTCAAGGTAACTCGATCACACCACTGAATGAGAATGATATTTGTTAGTAAAGTTTCTAGGGCAGAGTATCCAAGATACTGCAACAGATGCTGTTGATACCTCTATGCAGATCCCCGTATCCTAACATACAAGGTCTATTTTTCCTGCTACCTCCTGTATTGACTACTAATGGCTCATTATTACACCTTTCTCTGGAGAACTGACCATGGCTGAAAAAGAACCACCTTGCAGAGAGATTTCTGAGAGGTTATGTTTTACTTTGCCTCTCGGGTCCACAACCTTTCCTTCTTTCAGACTGAGGCCCATAGCTAGAAGGGAATGATAAAGGGTAAAACAGCCCAATCTCCTTGCTTCAGGGCAGGACAACAACTAAGGTGCAATTTATTCTTCAGAGCTCCTTGTGAAGTCATGCTGAGACAAGACTTTTGAAACCAGATTTCTGTTAGTGTGTTTCCTGCTTTATCCTATTTTTCCTCACTTTCTTACAGGCTTTTCCCAAGAATACAAACCTCAATCACCAGCACAAAAATCTCTTACTCAGGCTTGGCTTCTAGGCAATGTGACCTAAACTGTTGGTACCAAGATAAGTCCTAAGAAGAATTATTTACTGATGGGATTTTGGGGTAGAATCACTTGAAGGATGATTGCTATGAAGAAGGACCCAATTACTGGTGTAAGGTAAACTCTTGATATAGAATGCAGCCATTAGTTCATCTGTGGGTAAAAGAGGATGTGTACTTAGGTTGTACAACATGCACAGAATTTGAGGGTGCAAGGTGAATAGTGACCACAAGGTGACTATTGGGTGGCTGAATGACACTGGGGTGGGAAAGAGAAAATGATAGGCTAATTAATCACCAATTTAAAGGAAGTATTTACTGCCTCTTTGGCAAAAGTTAAAGAGACCCTTCACTCCTGCAAATAAAGAGCTGATTATACTGAAGACCAGGCCTAGCCTTCAGTTTTAAGGGTGGCAGAATTTAAGAGATGTTGCATACTAGGCAAGTCTCCTATACTAAAACAGGGGCCATTTAGGAAAGAATGTCAAGTCCAATAAAGAATATCAAGGTGGATGCAGCTGAGAACCTTGGACTCCAAAGTTCCCATTGAACTCATGGGCCTGAAGCTAAGGCTCATGTCCCCTTGTTAGAGGACCGCATGCCCCTCCCCACCACCACCCAAAGACTATATAGAAGTCTCAAGTGAAGCAAGTGCCTTAAGAACAATGCTAGTAGCCCTCTTCATGCTCTATCAACCTTTCCTGTGGCCACAGGCTAAGGTCAAATTTCAACATGGTCCAAGTGAGGAAGTACTGGGTCTGCTAAGGAAGGAGAAGGATAAATGCTACAAGTGCTGCAAGAACAGACCAATTTGAACCAGCAAGAACCAGGAGAATATACTAGGGAGTGGTTGTCAAGGGTACTAGATTAAAAAGTGGGACTATAAAACAGAATATGGGAGTTTTTGAATATGGGGCCCTCTTCTTGGACTCAGGATTCAAGGCTGCTAAAGACCCCTGGATATGGCCTAACACATTGCTAGATGCTTGAAAAAGCAAAAGTGCTTTAAATGAAATAGAGATCCCAGAACTGTAGCAGGCTGTGGAAGAAGATATTTAAAGACACAAGGAAGTAAGCATGCCAGAAACGATCTATTATATAAGCTCAGAAGACCCTCTAGTTGAGTATGTTCCTCAGGAGGGCCCAGAGAATACCATTTGCCAAGGCAATAAGGAAAAGACTAGTGAAGGGGGTGCAGACATTACTAAGGAGATCCAGAGTGACTATATTCTGTAGGCTAGGGCTGGAAGTAGGAGATACTCAAATATAGCTTCTGGTAGCAGCGGAGAAGATTAGATTACAGAAGAGCAGAGACAAGGTAGCACCATGTATTAGGTGCAAAGAGGGGCATAAAATTGTAATGCAGCAAGGTTGAAGGGCAGCCCTTGGAGATCTACGGAGATGGCTCACAGGACATGATCTTCCTCAGTACAGGTGGAGCCAAAAAACGTATTCTGTATATACAACTCTAAGAGACCAACAATGAATGAGCAAGAAGACACTAAGGACAGCTCTCCCAAAGTGAAATCACAACCCCAGATCTAAGACAGCATCTAAGTAGTTTCCTTCTCTCTAACTATAGATATATAAAAACAAGACCAGAAAAGATTAAATTACCCCATCCATCCACATGCACATGGCCAATTAGGTAGAGCAAAAACATTAATGGAATTTATCTTCACCTTGTCCAATGATGTATGCCAATCAGTACCTCTTCTCCCAAGTCTTGGTTCTTTGTCTATAATATGCCCTGCCTACATTACAATTAAGTAAGATATTCCCTTGAAAGTGCTTTAGAAAACTGGGAAGTGACTTACAGGAAAATTTCAGTTGCCTTTTTGGTAATTTCTCTATTTTGCGAGTATATAGTACCTAAATGCTTTGTCGTTTCCCATTACAAAGTCTCATTCAAATATGCATACATACTGTTTTAACAGTGCCCATAGTCCCTGCTCAATAATTTTGCATGAATAATTACATAAACAACAACAAAAAAAAACAAAGAAAGAAGGAAAGATAAAATAATTTGTTGAGGGAAGAGGCTAGGCATATTTGTCAGACTCCTTAACCTATCAACATTTTTACAAAAGTACTTTTGAAAAAAAAAGAGCTGTAGAAAGTATTATGTAGCATGACTTGTTTTTTTAAGGGACAATAATTCATGCTTCTAGGAGAAAATGTTAATTTTTATTAAAATGTATGTGTAATATGAGTATCTCAATGGGAATACTGTAAAAAAAGAGTTAAAATGAACCAAATCCAGGTGGCCTGTCAAGGAGTGGATGTGTTTGTGTGTGGCAGAGGTGAAGGCATTAGACAGAAGCAATAATCTTTTCTACTTTTAACAGTTTTATTGAGATGTAACTGATATACAAAAAACCTTCACCTTTTGACTAGTGTGGACATCGAGGGATCTATGCATATATGCATGATACTATTACAGTCAAGGCAATAAACATATTCATTGCCTCTAAAAGTTTCCTTGTTTTCCTTGTATCCCCTTTTCTTTCTCTCTCTCTCTCTCTTTTCATTTGGTAAGAGAAGGAGTAGTCTTGAGAGGTACTGTTATGTACTGTTGGGACAGGCAATCTTGTACATTTTGTCTTAAGACTCCCGCTTGGCTGCCTAAGAATGGGCCTGGGAACTGGGACACTTCCTTACCAAGATGTGGAGTTGTTAACAAAACACACCAAGGTGTGTTGAAAATGAAAGGGTCAGTCAGCCAGGACAGGGAGTGGGGTAGTAATATGGACTGATTAAGATGCTGGCTGTACGGGGATAAATGGGAGGTAGATAATCTCCTGGTCAAAGGGATGAGATGGTGCAGTGGATGAGGCTGGAAATGTGAAGTGGGTCCTAAAAAGAGTAAAGAAACTATATTCTGGCTCTTGACCACCTTTGTGCTCCCATACATCCCCCAACTTCCATGGTATCTTAGGGGTTGCTAATGATGTCTGCTCAAATTAGACCCGCTTTCACTCAATGCAAAACCACTGATAGTGTTGCTAAACACAAAACTATTGAAGTCTTTCTCTGAAAGTGAAATATGGAAACTGAAAGACAGATATGGATAGGAGTCAGGAGAGTTGCATGCAGACTGGCAGGTGCATCTGTTAATAAAATGAAAGGGCAGTGAAGGCTCAGATATCCAGGACTGAACACTACAGTTAGGGATGGGGGCAAGGTCTTGGATCCCCACAGGGGCCTATGCTCCTGTCGGATGAAGGGAAAAGGCAGAGGGATTCAGGATTTTATATGTGGCTCTTGGTTACTGGTACCCAATGACAATAATGCCAATTCTCCAGAGAGGCAGGATTAAAATAGGGTTACGCTTTGGGTGGTTTTGGGGAAGGAGACAAGTCCATTTGTTTGTGGACAGGGTCCTTTGGACCATTTCAAGTACTGGTGATGGTAGTTCCCACCACTGAGTACA